ATCCTTATGTATAGACTATATAATACAGATAAACATATACTCCTGACATACAGAATAAATAGTATAGAATAAAGATGTATAGTATATAATTACAGAGTTTTACTACATACATACAAACTGTTAAACAGACATACAGACTGTACACTAAATTATAACAAACTGCATCTTCTATAAAGTAGTAATCTCTGTTTGTCTGCTTGTATTTTCGATCATAATCATAAACCCCTTCACCAATTCGACTCAAATTCTTTTTGTAGAGCTCGGATGAACCATGGGAATTTAAAATGCCAAGTGAAGTAGGTTTTATTTTATAAACCACATACGCTCTATTAGACAAAGTAATCTTTCTATGTATGCATACATATGTACGTCTATATATGTAGATATATATATATATATATGTCTATCTACTAATTTTTCTATCTTTCTATCTCAGATTTATCTCCTCTTTTCTAGAATTATTCCCTCGCCCCCACAATCCCTTCTCCCCCTTTTCTCTACCCTTCTCCACCCCCGCATATCCCCCTCCTTGTCTCTCAGGTTCCCCATCCAGGGGGAAACTATTCCAATTAGGGATTATGCGAATATCTGACTCAACACTGAGCTTCAGGGGAAAGAAGGATACTTGTCGATATTTCTTAGGAAAAAATCAACAAAAATGATTGTCCTGAATTTTAAACTCTTTTTTATGATAATTTCAAAATACTTTTTTGTTATTCCTGCCATTTTGAACCCCCCCCCCCTCTTTTCCTAAAATCCCCCCTGAGGGATTTACATCCATTTATTTCTCTGATCGGAAAAATTACAAAAATTAGGGAAAGGTGGGAGAGGAGTTTGATGGTAGATGGGAAGGAAGGGGNTAACAAAGACGATTTCGTTTTAGTTACTTAGTTCCAAGAGGGTTGAAATCAAATCATAACAAACAATTTATTTCTGAATATTAAAAATAAAAAAATTAGGTGAAGTGAGGATGTAGGGAAAAGGATCTTACACCGACTTTTTTTCTACATTTTGGTGAAAATTCATGCGATTGAAACCATTAAAATAAAAGAATTTTGCTCATGTACAAATTGTTTTTTCCTTTTTAAATTTTTTTCTTCTTTTTTGCTGTCTATTAACGAAACGTGTGTTAATCCTTATCAATAAAAACACCCATCGGCCACCATGAATAAAATCTATATCTGTGAATATAAACACCTATCATGAATAAAATCTATATCTGTGACTAGTTTGGTAAAATCGACAAGTATGGTAAAAAGAGAAAAGGACAACTACTATAGATAATTAATGACAAAAAAGTCACTTTATTCCAAATAATTCATCAAAATAATTGTATTTATAATGTCGTTAGAACACTTTTTGCACAAACATCAGCAGGGAATAAAGGAAATTAACCGTACAGGGTGATCCAGAGAATACTGCATCTGTGGAAAAGGGAGATTCATACTACGTGAACATTTTGGATGAAGTAGTAAAAAAAAAAATTCTGCACAATTTATGCGTTGGTTAAAAAAACCTTAATATTGAGCCTTTACATTTCAACATGACAAAAATATTAGCGTTCGAAATAATAAACAGAATGGTTGGGATAACTCAGACATTTTTATATCCATCATTTCAAGTATTTCAAAATGCCGCGCGCTAAGTTCGATCCTTAAAAAATGTTATGGTTTCTTCAAAAATTGTGCGTTTTTAAATTTTGATAAATCTTCCAGGATTGTAAATTGTATTATGTTAACGATTGTTTTTTAGACATTGCAATATATTTATCCTAAAAAAAGCATTAACAAATCCAAAATTGATCGTTGCATTACGTTCTTTTTTGCATAGTTTTTTGCTATATTTTTTCCTCCACATATCTTCTGTCTGACTCTGAAAGAAAACGTCTGCAAAACAAACCAACAGAAGGAAAATCATTTTTATTAAATGCCTCCCACAAAAACTTTGATATAAATTTAAATCTTGACGAAGTAAATAATAATTGTTATTTTTTTTGTATTTTTATTTTTTATTTTGTATTTCTGAAGTTGTGGTTAGAAGGCAGACCAGTTGGTGAAATAATATCATACGTATAATGTATGATTTGACTTTTATTCTCATACGTACATATCAAAGAGGGGGGGGGGGGGAGGATGCTAAGAGGAAACGTAGTTGGTCATGTGGTGGCCAGTTATTTTATTTCTTATGACTTTCCTCGATTGTTATTTAAATTTTAGTTAAAATAAACGGTTTGACGCAAATCATATGAAAATTTTCTTTTTATTCAATCAGAAAACAATAAAATTTGCAATGCAGCTCTTTTGTCAATCATCAATTATTAACTATTTATAAAAGTGATTGTACGTCAAAATTGCTAGTAAACATGGGCGTTACCATGGAGGAGTGGGGGCCAGGGGGTCATATGATTACATTAACCAATGCTGCTGGGTTTCAGGTAGTGCAACTGCATTTGATTTAACCTTTAAAGGGACTGTGACATAATTTCAAGTGACCCTCCATTTGTAGTCTTGTAGAGGGGCAGGTCCAATTCAGAAAGGTACCCGTAAAACCAGTGTTTGACCAATGAGAAATGAGATATCCTATTTTTTAAGCTGAAAATTGATTATTTGCAATTATGGTATACAAATGACTTGTGGATTTATTCTGAAAAACCAATGAAGGACATGGTGAATTAAATTGATAAACAACGACGACATCTTCCAATTTTAGTCAGATTCAGGTTTAAAAGTTACCATTGTGAATCGGATAGTCCGCTATTAATAGGGGGGCTCCTTGAAATTACTTTGACTGGCTCTGCCTGAATTTCTACAGTTTCTCATTGAGCAAAATTCGATTATGGAATCGGGTAATGAGAGTAGGATATCAAAATTAAAGTGTGTTGCTCAACTCTACAAGCCAAAAGTTTATGGCGTTGGTCACGTAATTTTCAAGGATGAATTGGTGTATTTCATTGAGAGTAAATGTTTAGTTAAACTCCTGAAATGATTTTCATGTCCTCTGCTGTATATCGGATGTGGGATCGGAATATAATAAGGGTTAAGATGAACCCATCCTGAAGCATGGTCGATTATATTTATAAAATCATCTCCATCTTTACTTTTTTAAATAATAGCCACTTTGACTGAAAACAGATCCATCTCTTTTATACAATGTCTGTTGATCAGCAAAGACCTAGAAGTAAATTATTTTTCTTTTAAAGGACTCTAAACAGAGTTGCATGCCAGATTCATAATAATAATTTAAGTCTTTATATGAGAAACAATGAAAAAGATATGCTTTTATCGTTTGTTTGTATATCTGTCTCAAATAAACGACAATACGGCTGACCCAAATGGGCCGGATTTTCATGTGGACAACTTTATTTTGTTTATAAAAAAGGGGACGTAACGCGCCCTGAAAGCCCAGTGATCAAATATTTGGAAAATTTTAAGATTTGTTTATTGATAAAAAATTCCAGCGGTTTCATGAAAAAGTTATTTTTTAAATATGAAACCCAGCCGTTGAAAGAAGAAAAAGTTTAATAAATAAGTTAAACCCGCGCTTGAAGGAAAACAAATTTTATAAAAAAATGTGATTCCAGCAGATGAAGAACAGAAGGTGAAAGCAAATAAAGTTTCTTAAAAATGTTTTTTGAAAAGTATGAAACCTAATGGTTGAAAGAAAAAAAAATGTAGGTAAAAATAGTGATTCCAGCAGTATAAGGAAACCCAAACATTTTTATAATACAGAGGTTGTCCCAATAAACATGGAAATTGATTGACAAATTTTGTGTCATATTTACAGATATTTTTTGATTTAGTATGAAGTGATGCCTACTAGGGAAGCTGCAATCCGTAAATGTTTTGTCTGATGGATTTTATAATTTATTTGTTTATTTTTAGATTACATAATATTGTACTGACAATTCCTAAACACAGTTGTTCCTCTTCGCCATTTATCTAACAGAAATAAGGCAATACAACGACAATTCTTAACAAAGACGATTTCGTTTTAGTTACTTAGTTCCAATGTTTATTGGGAAACCCTGAATATATGTCTTCATATCTTACAACATAAAAATACAATTTAATTGATCTAAGAAAGATATAAAAAAAAATTTCTTTTCTAACTTTTCAAATTATCTGCCCATCATATCTATTAAAAGATTAAAGCTCTTTTGTGCATGTTAACATCTATCAATTTGAAAACAATTTGTTGGTATCATTCAATATTTTTTAAAATAAATGGATCAAATATCAATTTTTATTTACATGAAATAAAATAATTATCTTTTATTAAATTTGTGGTAAAAATTCTAACAAGTCTGGCGTATGATAATTTTTGATATTACTTTTGTGTCATTTTAAAGAGAGGGTAAAAAAGAATGTAACAATTCTAAATTTTTTTTGTGAATTACTTTTTGATGTTTCTTAAAAACATTTAGAATATTTCCTTTTACTTGTCCCATATGCAGCCCCTACAGTGCACATGGTCATTATCAAAAGTTTAGTTGTTCACAATAACCCCAGGCTTAATATGTTAATGTTAATAAACAAGTTATAGTCTGTATAGAGCTTTTTTAGAACTTATAGACACAACTTTCAATGACAAAGCAGCCTTTTTAAAAATTAGTAAAAAAATTTTCAAATCAAAAATGATTTTTTACAGATGTAAAACTAATTTGTTTATAAGTATTATTATTTTAGGGAGTTTCAGAAATATTTTTTTTTGTAATATAAACATATTTCTTACATTGCTTAGAATTAAATAGATTTAAAGTAGTTAAGAACAGAACTTTACAGAACACATTTTACTAGTATGATTACAATACAGATTTTAACTAAAGAATCTGAACAATGTTAATATTTGGTCAATTTTAATAGAATTTTTTGATTGGACAAATTAAAAAAAATATTATTGTCAATAATCCATTTTTATATAAAATTTATTATTTTTTTAATCATCCATTTTTTATCAAAATTACTTTTCTTTTAATATTAAACTTTATTGTACTGCAGATTATTAGTAAACATGGGGGATGTAACAGTTACAAAGGAGGAGTGGGGGCCAGGCAGTCACATGATCACATTAACCAATTCAGCTGGATTTCAGGTAAATAATCGAACATTGATCTTGAAACCGACTTTAAGCATGTATAACACATCAAACTGATTCAGCCCACAACTTTTGTAGAAAGGAAACAATGCCACCAACAATTTCAATTTAATGACATTTTGGAAATCTACCATTAAAAACAGAAAAAATCTACGAATACTTTTTTTTTACTATTCTAAGCATTGAAGCAAGTTCTGAATTCAGCATTAGAATTTTTCCCATGACTTATGTGTAAATGTTCTTAACACTTATTGGCAGTATTTTATTTTCTATTACAAATGATTGTTTTGTAAATATATCTTAAATATTTTTATATCCCATGGGAGTATGCATGGAAAGCTCCGATTTTATAAGTACTGTTAAATACAAGAATGAACAATTTGTATGTTGAAGGATTCGATTATGTATTAATTACTGAAATTATAAATATGCTATGCTTGGCAATGAGTAATAATAAATGTTGCCTATTTTGCATAACTTTGCATATTTTGAAAACTTTTATATACAATTTTTTTTAAGAAATTAAAAACATTTGATTATTTAATTATGAATATATTTGGGTATGAATAAATCTTTATAATAGTATTGTCAAAATTTTTTTTTACCTATTTTACTTATACTTCAGGCGAAGCTGTTGTCTTTAGGAGCTACAATCCACAGCTTCAAATATCCAGCTTCTGAAGCAGCATCAGATAAAAAGAGTAGCATTCAAGATGTAATCCTTGGATTTGATTCTAGCGACGGTTATGATGGAACAAAAACAGCTTCTTCTGGGGAACTACAGGGCGTCTTACAAATAGGTAATCTTTGACGCCATTTTAAGAAATCTAAGAAGTTTTCAGCAACAATTGATTTTTTTAAAATATTACCATCACCAACTGTAAACCTTCATCTAACTACCATTGCTTAATAAATCAAATCGCACATGCCATGTTATTATCCTGTAAACTTCTTATGTAATCATGTTTTTGATGAGACATCTTAAATTATACTTTTAACAAACTTAACGTAAACTGCTGGTGTCAGAGCATGTCTCAATAAACCTGGGAATAACGTGGTAACTTATAAATCGTCATCGATATAGGTGAAATTCATTTCCGGGATTTTCAAAATGTTGCCAGCCTATTGTATACCTTTAAAAACCATTGAATATTGAAATATTTAATTTCTTAAATATACAGACGTTAGACCACATTTTGGAAAGCCTATTGCTTAGAATTATATATGCACATGGTTTCCTTTAGATTAATTCTCATGAATTGAAGACGGTTTCAATGTTGTGAACCTAAATTCCTATTTTTTTGACACCCTGTTTCACAGGGTTAAGGATGGGAAAATAGAACTGGATGAATCAACTCACCAACTCTCCTTGAATGATTTTGGAAACCAGTTTAAACATCACCTGCATGGTGGAGTCAAGAGTTTTGACAGACTGATCTGGAACTCCCAGATTATCCAAGATGGCGTCACTTTCTCAATGCTATCTCCACATGGATCAGAGGTTCAATTTCATATTTTTATTCAACTGCAAAGCATCAAATTATGTTTTTGGATGGGTAGGGATTTGATTGGGAGGTATGAGATTGTCAGGTGATATGTGGCAGGGTGAGATCAGAGGGATTAATGTAGAGATAAATCAAAATACAGGATGTAAAGGATGCTGGATACACAAACACAAATAAGCTAAGAAAGTTTAATTTTAAATTTTTCTAAATTAAAATCTACTCACATGATATGCAACTAGATTTTTCGCATTTAAATTTAAATAAATTTAAATAATTATCAAGATAAGTTTTTTTTGCATATTTAGTTTCTTTAACCGTCTATGTACGAAGCGGTTGATATTGAAGGCTCATTTTAGTCACCCATTACCCCCTTATCGGTTTACAAATTTTTTTTTTTTTAAGTTTTGCGTAATTTGAGAACTCAGAAGCCAAGTTCAAGCATATTTTAGCTTGTTTTTGTTTTTATTCAGTGAAGATCTTGATAGGTATTGAGAGGATACGCAAAAATGAAACAAAATGTGAGACCCCCTCCACTTTTTTACAAAGTTAACATTTTCGTGATTTTTGTTTTAAAAAATACGTCTAAAGTTAATACTTTTTAAATAATTTACATTTTAATGATTTAAATTATTGTTTTAGTATAATTTTGGCAGCTTTTTTGAGCGGTCGTTATCGACGGCTTCGCACATGTGGGGGACATAACAGTAGGGCAAAATAGACGGCTTCCACAAGTATCAGAATAATATAAACTGCATTGTTCTTTATATTTTCATTGATAATGTGGGATACGAAGGTAGGGATGGGAAGGGATGGGTGGGATGGTATGGGAGGGATGGGAGAGATAAATTGAATAGGAAGGGAGGGATTGGAAGGAAGGGATGGGAAGAGGGGGTGGGAAGGTAGGAATGGGAAGGGATGGAATGAGAAGGAAGGGAGGAATAGAATGGATTCATGATAGTAAGGGAGGGATGGAATGGGAAGGTAGGGATGAGAAAAGATGGGAATGGTAGGGTGGTGAAGGGATGGATGGGATTATATGGGAAGGGAGGAATGGAAGGGGTGTGAAGGGATGGATGGGATGATATGGGAAGGGAGGAATGGAAGGGATGTGAAGGTATGGATAGGAAGGAAGGGATGGAATTTGAAGGAAGGGATGGGATGAGATGGGAATGGTAGGATGGGGTTGGAAGGAAGGAATGGAAAGGATGAGATTGGAAGGGAGTGATGGGATAAGATGGAAAGGGTTGGATAGGGTGGGAAGGAAGTGATGGGATGGGAGAGATGTGAAGGAAGGGATAAGATATTTGAAATACAAACTACAAACAAGCTGTGTTCAATGTTTAACTATAGATATATTTACTTTTAATAGTAAAATCTACAAACTTTGCTTTGTTCCGGAGCGGTCGATTTTGGCCATTTTAAAATCCCGTGTTGACGAAGCGGTCGATATCGACCGCTGTCACTATCTCTAAAACTATGCATTGTATGAAAAAAATAAAAATATTTCTGTGCCTCAGGGAACATTTCTAAAATAAATTGAAAATTTAAAAAAAATATTTTGAAAAATATTAAGTTCGGACATAGACGTTTAAAGTCAATTTCAATTGCATTACACAATTTAGAAAACATTGCGGACGGAAAGCTTTCTAATTTCTAATTTATATGATTTTGTTCTATTCGGTTCAGCTAAAGACTTAAACATATTTTGGAAGGAAGAGGGAAGGTTATCATTAAAGTATCCATGCATAAATGTCAGAACACTAATCATCAAGATTATAAACTTTCAGTTTTGAAAATAATTGATTTGAATGTGGCTTGAAAGTACTATTATTTACCGCTCTGATTTGACTTTTTTTTTTGCAAAGATCTGATTTTTTACAGTTTAGAGTTTTTAACCCATCCCCAAGTAGCAATTCCATATTCAATATTAATGTTTAATGGTAAGATATTCTTAATTTGAGACCAAGCAAAGAATGAACTAGCAATTTTATTCGAGATATGTTCAATTTGAAAATTCCAGTTTAAAAAATTTGTCAAGTTTAAGTCCAACAAATTTGAAATATTTGTTCACACATTAATTGCCAATTAGATTCCGTAATTCGATCATTTAAAGGGAGTGTTCGCGAAAAATGAAAGGGGGTATATACATTTAATTTAATTTTTTTACTCACAGTGAAATAAGCAATTTTAATGCTTTTTTAAGCAAGTTGCCTGCTTTCTCTCAAGCAGAACGGACCTACTTTGCAGTCCCAGAATTGCAGCTGGGGAAGCGCTGAGTTAAGTTACGCATCTTGTATCCTAAAGGGGAAACTGGAGCATAGATTAAAACAAAACTTCATCTTCAGCTTGGTGCACTGAAAGAGGAGTTTCACCCCTCATGGGAATACAAGCCATGCACAATCATACCATTTTTTTACTCAACCAGATGTGAGGACTGGACTGCCATGAAAGATACCTCTCAAGAGAGCTTTCAAGGATCACAACTCCCCATTTTGCATATGGGGTGCAGTTATGGGTAAATTCCTTAATTCTAACTGGGAAACAGTATAAAATGAATACAAACCTCTTTATCTCTCTCCTACCTGCTCCACAACTCGATGTTAAAAGAACTATTTGGAAAGGCCTTAAAGTGTAAAACCAAGAAACAAGAAGCAAGAAGAAAAAATAAATTGAACAGAAAAAAATGGAAGGGAATCTCTTGACAGTAGAGATGGGTGCTTAAAGCAAGATAAACAAGAAAGAAGTTAAAACTTTGAACAGGAAAAATTAGAAGGGGATTTGAGCTTTACACTATGGATTTTTTTCACCGATAGAGAATAAAGACAAATACACAAGATGGCAGACGTCCTATCCCCCCCTCTATGTCCTACTCAAGATAAAAAACTGAAAATTTTTTAAAACGCCCCCCTCAGCTTAGCTAGGAATGCAGGAGATGACACAGTATCATGCAAAAGCAAAAAAGATCTAAACGAATTTTGATGCAATTTTTTCACCTCTTTATCTTTGGCGTAAACTTCAAATTCAAACTATGATTATTTGTTTAACAGAATTCATGTTATAGGTCTAAGACATGGGTTAAAAAAATATAGGAAATAGAAAATTTGAGATGTTTGTGGCAAAAACTCAGAAATGTTAATAAACACTTTAAATGTTTGTTTAGGGATATCCTGGTAATATGGTGGCCAGTGTAACCTATACCTTAGATAACAAGGGAGCTTTGGATATCAAAATGAAGGTTTAAACATTATTTTTTTCTTCTATAATTTAAAGAGATTGTGAGCGAAAAATCAAGTGATCCTCCATGCAAAGAAGAAAATGCCCGATTTACAAAGGGTACCCTGTAAACAAGAAATAAGAATAAGTCCATCATTATTGATCACTTAAAGGTTTAAAGGGTACTGCTCTGAATTCGCCACATCACTCAACAAATAAAGGAGAATTTCAAAGTGCGTGTACAATCCCTTGAACTTAGAAGTTTATACCACTGAAGTCGTAACTCCATTTGTAGAGTGGCATGTCCAATTATCAATTTTGCAATCTATTTTATATTTTAGAAAGACTAATATTTACTTCCTAGAAGTCACAGAAAATAAATATTTACATTCAAAGTTTTGAAAACCAGGTTGGTCATAGAATATTCGGAATTTTCGAGAAATATGTGTAGCAGTTCACACTATACGTTAGCATACACTACAGTTTTCTGTCAATTTTAACATATTCATAGAGATAAACACACAGAGTTCTCTGCCCTCGATGATCAATAAAACGTTAAAGTGAACTCTTGCAAATTTGACATTCCCCTCTTTGAATGGACGGTCACTCTTACATTCCCTTTTATTAAGAACAAGTTTACGTTCTTTTACAGACATTATATATTATATTTAGGCAGTAACTGATGCTGAAACTGTGGTTAACTTGAGTAATCATGTTTATATTAACCTAGCTGGCCATGCTTCAGGACTCAGACATTATATAACATAGATTTATTAAATGTGCATTGCGCATGCATGGAGAACTATAGGGGTAAGACACCCTGTAATTCTCTTTTGACACTTTTTTTCTCCTGAACACCATGAATTTTCCGGAAACACCCTATAATTCTTCCTGGAACATCCTGTATTCCTCTGGAACACTCTGTATTCTCCTGGAACATCCTGTATTCCCCTGGAACATCCTGTATTCCCAGCTGGAACATCCTGTATTCCCCTGGGACATCCTGTATTCCCCTGGAACATCCTGTATTCCTCTGGAACACTCTATATTCCACTGGAACATCCTGATTTCCCCTGGAACACCTGTATTCCCTGGGACATCCTGTAATTCCCTGGAACACCCTGTATTCTCCTGGAACATTTTGTATTCCCCTGGAACACTCTGTATTCCTCTGGGACATCCTGTATGCCCATTGAACACTCTGCATACCTCTGGGACACCCTGTATTCCTCTGGGACATACTGTATACCTCTGGGACAACATGTATTCCCCTGGGACACCGTGTATTCCCCTGTGACACCCTGTATTCCCCTGTGACACCCTGTATTCCCCTGTGACACCCTGTTTACCCCCCGGTACACCCTGTAGTCTCCTGTGACACCCTGTATTCTCCTGTGCCACCCTGTTTACCCCCCGGCCCGGTACACCCTGTATTCTCCTGTGACACCCAGTATTCTCCTGTGACACCCTGTTTACCTCCTGCTACTTCCTGTATTCTCCTGTGACACCCTGTTTATCCCTGTGACACCCTATTAACACCTGGAAACCTTGTTATATTGTCTCCGGTCTAGGCTGGGATGGTCTGCAAGATCAAATTCTACAGATTCCACACAACTTCTACACACCAGACGATGCAGAATATCTCCCGACAGGAATTTATTTAAAAGGAGTGTCTGACGAATCAAGGTTTATCAGACACTCTCTTATTGTTTAATAACATTTATTATGGAAATCTTTAAATACAAGTTTTACAGATCATACTCTATAAATGTCGAATGAATACCTCATAATAGTTACAAATAAAGTTTTTTTTTTTAAAGTGTACAGCTCAAACTCTTAAAGGGACTGTTTGAGTAATTGCAAGTGACCCGATATTTAAAAGAGAGACATGTTCGATTTACAACGGTACCCTTAAAACCTAAATCTGTTCCATAATGTAGAAAATAACGTCTTTATAGCTGCAGTAGAACTGCAGAGAAACTACGATTGAAAATAATCAGCTTTAAAAGTTATAAACAAGGATATCTAATTTATACTTGATCAGACAAAGCGTTTAAGGGTACCGTTGTGAATCTGACATTTCACTTCATAATCAGTCCCTTTTAAGAATAATAGGTGATCTATTATACTAATCTCTTTGATAATTTAGGAGCTATTGATCCAGTTGAGAATACAAATAAAGATTTCCAAGAATCTAAACTCCTGAGTTCTACAGTACCCCAGGAGAGAGGGGGAGAAGGTTTCTGTGTAAACTACTGTATAAAAACTCAATCTAACTCTCAAAGGTTAACTATACATGGACGATAACTAAATGTCGTCTTTTAACTACAATTCAAATGACAGAGAGGGCATGCCAAGTCTGTTTATTATTATTTAGGCCTAGGGGGCGCGGGGCGTTGGACGCACCCCCTCTATTTTTTTGCCCTAACACTCTCATTTATAACTCTGTTATCTTGACTGGGGTTAAACAATTTTTTTTAATGCATAGGGTAAGGTAAAGGGCTTTTAAAAGTTTGGTCCATGTAAAACAAAAATCTAAAATAGCCCATTACTTTTTTGTGACTAAAGCATGATGTTAAAACAATTTTTACAATTTTACAACCCTTTATTTGGCATTTTTTTCAAAACTTTTTAACTTTTAACACCCAAACTTTTAAAGCTAGCAGTCAAATTTTTCAAGGTCAATTTTCAATAAACTGGCCTTGAAAATTTTGTTTATGAATATGCATTGCAACCAAAGAGAATAGAATATATATTAGAGTGGAATTTACTAGAAAAAAGTGTAAAACGGCCATTTTATTATATTTTATTATGTATTACCTTTTGGGCCTGGAACATCATTTTATAGAAAATCTAAAATTAATATTGAAAGAAAACCAAATTCTGAAATAGGCTGTTTTCATAATTGACCAATGCTCATTTCACATAGACTCTATGCCTTTCACTTTAACAAACGATGATTTTCCGTTATAACTATAAATCAAATGATGTTTTTTATTCACCTAATTCATTATAAAGTTTATTTAAAAGCTTTAAAAAATTCAAAATTGAAATGGATAGTCTTGGGAACATACTGTATTAATGTACTCTACTGCATATAATTTGTAAACTCCCTTTTGCAGGCTGAAAGGGACTGAAAAAATTCATACCGAAGTATTGTCTATATTCTACTCTAATATATATTCTATTCTCTTTAATTGCAACCCTATTAAGGCCTTTTTTTCTAGGGGTAGGCTATACAATACATTATAGATTCAGACTCCCCAGCCTTTGTAGGATCCCTTCAAGAGACTTAATTGTAAAAATGTTATTTGTTAAAGTTTGGCTGCTGTGCTCTCATATCCTAAGTTTGGTAGAAAACTGGAGGTTTGGAGTAATCAGCCTGGACTAGAACTATACACAGGTAAATAATCTAACAACATTTTTTAATGAGGGGGTGTTATATATATAGATATGAGGAGTCGAAAGTTCGTGGGGAGTGTTCTATTTATTTTATCCAGGGAACTTCTTGCCTGGTGCCGGAAATGAGCTTGAAGGGAAGGATGAAGCTAGATATGGAAAATGGGGAGGAATATGCTTGATGACTCAGGGACACACAATTTTACTTTTAATTTTTGTTATTTTACAGTGATAACCAGAAAACTTTATAATAGGAAGACGACTTTTATAATCAAATTATAACTATAAGCATGAGACACAGCAATTGTGCAGGTGAAACACACCCATTTAACTAATCTAGTAATCAAAAAAGTGTCTTAAGCATAACTATATTGTCGTATTCCTATTCTATTGTTTTCTGGTTATCATTCTATAAGTAACCCTAAAAAGACGTGAGAGGAGTGGATTTGCTGATGCCCCCTTCCATTTTTCCTTGCTCAATAAGCAATTCAAATCTCCCTAGAAGAGGTTGATTCATTGGCTGTACTGTCCCATGTTGCCTTATATATGTGCACTGTGCAGCGTTAGCTGGTTAAAAGTCGGCCCGGTACAAATGAACAGGAGATTACAGTGACGCTTTTTTAAAAACTAAAATGTTTTTTTTTTTACTTTCTATTCAGTTCGCCGCAAATCAAGTATTTTCGTTCTTACGTTTTAAATTTTTTGGAAAAGGTCGTTTTATTTTTCTAAATAAATAGAAAGTCCAATTTAAGTTTTATTGAAAGAAGGTACAAACTTAATTCTGAATAGTAACACACCTTGGATAAACATGATTAAACATAATTTGAAAATATGAAAATTTGGATTATAGTGTTGACTTAAATATATAAATAATATACTACATGTATATTAAACTTATTTTTAGGTAAACAATTAAGAATAAAAAGGTGTACTCTCCTAGGCTGTATAAATACTATGTACTGTATATACCTACAGTACACGCCTTCGGTTTGGTAAACTTTACACACACTCTTTTGTTACAGACACACACATTACGTTTTCACCAGTACAGCACAGTGTAGTACAGTACAGTACAGTACAGTACAGTGCACCATTCACAGCGAAACCCTTTTTTAAATGTAAAAAGTATATTTTTTTGTGTCTAGAATTACAGGGATGCTCCTAACCATCCTAACTTCCCCTCTGCTAAACTTAACCCTGGAGAACTATATTTTCATCATGCTACTTATAAATTTTTATAAATTATATGGGGAAAAAAATTATTTTAAACTGAAAATAAAATTTATTTTTTGCATGCCTTGAGAATGTAGTATTTTCAATGTTAAAATTGTTTCTTAAATAGTTTTAAAAAAATAGATATGTTATTAATTAAAAATCATTGTTTTCGAATTTTCAGAACTTTTTTTATTTGACTTATTAAAAATTTAATATTTCATAAGCTTTTGTGTGAAAAATATGATAAAAACCTGAAAGAAAAAAATGTTTGATTATATAAATATTATTATTATATATTGTTATTATAGTTATGTTAAAATATGCTATGAAACGCAAGCAAGCCCTGTTGCCTGGTTTATAGAACAAAATTGAAAAAGTAGATCTCCACCATATTTAGTGAGCACTCTCTTTAAATCCTAATTTGAAAGCATATTTTGCAAAATTTAATTCAATTTAATCCAAGTAAAATTGTTTAAGAATAAAAGTTTGATAGGATCAAGAAGAAAATTATATTTTAAAACAATGTAACTTTTTTAATACTATTATTCTTTTTCTTTGTTTCAATTTCTTTTGTTGATTCAATTTAGCAGAAAGTTATTACAACTCTAGCTTTAATTAAGAGAAAACACTAGAAAATAATAATCTTTTACTCCCTCCCTCCCCAGTACTTCAGGAGATATCTATCTATCTATCTTTCCTTCATTTATCGTTAATAGCCTTTATCTTTTTCCGCTATATCTTAATACTAATGCTCGCTGCTTGCAAGAAACATGTATCTTTAGCAAAAAGTTTCATAACATATAAATTAATTGACAATAGTTTCGCTACATACGGATTTCCATATTTTTCTATTGATTGGGCCAATGGACGCTAATTAGCATAAAATTATCTGTACAGAATCATAGGATAGAAATAAAAGTATAGATTTATAATCTATTTTCTTTTTGTTATTTGTTATTGTATTATTGTGCGTAAATAAAAAATTGCAATTACTTAAATCTTAACCTTAAAAACTTTGTTTAATTTTTTCTAATTTTGCTGTACAATTCTAAAATGTACATGTTAAGGGCTTCAAAAAATATATTGGTGAGTTTGCTGCGACACACTTTAAAAACGACCATAGTCTTGCATCTTGAATCAACTTTTAATAAAAGTCTGGATCTAAGAGTAAAAAATTATCATAATTTCATAATAATAAATTAAAAGAAAACGCAATTTTGAATCACGTTCAGAGTTCGTAAATTTTTGTAACTAGCCTCCGTTAAAAGACCAACTAATATTCATATTCACATATTCATATGTTTATTCAACTACTAATCAAACCAATAATAACGAAGCCCAAATCTCGTTCAATAGTTCCAACCACTGGATCTTTGTATTTACAGGTAACTACACGCTGCATCTTATGGTTTCTTACATATCCTCTTTGTTTGTTTGATATCCCTGAAGTCCAGTAAAAACATTAGAAAACCGTATATACGAGGTTTTCACATTCAGAATATAGGATGGAAGTTATATATTTATATTCATATATACGAGGTTTTCACATTCAGAATATAGGATGGAAGTTATATATTTGTATATTTATATACACGAGGTTTTCACATTCAGAATATAGGATGGAAGTTATATATTTATATTCATATATATACGAGGTTTTCACATTCAGAATATAGGATGGTAGTTATATATTTATATTCATATATACGAGGTTTTCACATTCAGAATATAGGATGGAAGTTATATATTTATACTCATATCTATAACTCGTAATTATAAACTGTGTCGGTTACCTTAGCCATTTTTTTGGAATTAGCATACTTTAATATTTGCTCTAACATTTGGATGACCTTTTTAAATCCAATTTCAAAACAGTTTTAATTCTTGAAATAACGTGATTAAATATTTGAAGTTTAGACAAACAGAATTAATTCAATATTCAGGAGTTTTTACAAATACCAATTTTATATATTTCGTTTTGCTGTATTGAGAGAAGTATAGATGAAAGGGGGGGAGGATTAAACATCCCTGTGTCCTAAATATGATAAATGAAAGCCTTCTCTCCCCCCCCCCTCCCTGGCTTTGTACTCCTCTATATTTCATATTCCTGGATACGGTAAAAAAGTAAACAGAAACTCAGGTTTACCCTCGTTTTTGTCCTGGTTTTGTCCTGTTTTTCTCCTGCAGTCCTGGATAAGAAGTTGATAAATGGAGAACCAGGAATTATTCCGCCAATATAAATATGCCAGCAGAGGAAAGGTGCAGAGCAAAGAATATTTATGACATGAAAAAGAATCTAGGCCCCGGCCCTGTGGTTAATTGGTTAATTGGTTAATTAGTTAATTGGTTAATTGGTTAATTAGTTAATTGGTTAATTTGTTAATTTGTTAACTGATAGTCATACTTTTCTTGGTTAAGATTAACAGTGATCCAAAGGTTGCAAATTCTCATGCAAATATAGATGATAATTATGCCAATTACTTCTTAAAAACTAATGCTAACTGAAAATCCGTTATTTCTTCGATCAGTGTACAGCAGATTGCTACAAAATTGCACCACAAGCTTAGTTGAAGGTGAACGAGCTTTAAAATGTTAATGTCACCAAAGTTTCAGTAGAAGTTAATATTTGAAGGATTCATAACTCTGATTGGATAACGAGATAGACAGAAAGATAGATGTTACCGCCTTACTATTTCTATTAGTTCAGAATAGACAATAAACACAAGACTGAACCCTGATTGGATCAGGCGCTAATGGACTTGGCATACAGGATCAGAATCAAATTCGGATTCAGCCTATACCTCCCTAAATTTTTCGCAAACACTAAATTTAAACCCTTGAAATGTAAGTATACTATCATCAGCAATTAAAGAAAAAAAATCAGGTAGAAAAATTTGTATTTAGAGATTTGTATTTAGAGATTTGTATTTAGATATTTGTATTTAGAGATTTGTGTTTAAAGATTTGTATTTAGAGATTTGTATTTAAAGATTTTTATTTAGAGATTTGTATTTAGAGATTTTATGTTTAAAGATTTGTATTTAGAGATGAGATTTGAATTTAGAGATTTGTATTTAGAGATTTGTGTTTAAAGATTTGTATTTAAATATTTGTATTTAGAGATTTTGTATTTAGAGATTTGTATTTAGAGATTTGTGTTTAGAGATTTGCATTTAGAGATTTGTGTTTAGAGAATAGTATTTAGAGATTTGTATTTAGAGATTTGTATTTAAAGATTTGTATTTAGAGATTTATATTTAGAGATTTTATGTTTAAAGATTTGTATTTAGAGATTTGTATTTAGAAATTTGTATTTAGAGATTTGTATTTAGAGATTTGTGTTTAAAGATTTGTATTTAGAGATTTGCATTTAGAGATTTGTATTTAGATATTTGTATTTAGAGTGTGTTTAGAGATTTGCATTTAGAGATTTGTGTTTAGAGAATAGTATTTAGAGATTTGAATTTAGAGATTTGTATTTAAAGATTTGTATTTAGAGATGACAACAAAACAAAATCGACACTATGCGCCCAGAATTCCGGCCGTAAATATTACTGATATATATCCAGCAAACAATCTTGATCAATTAGACTGTTTATTTATTAATAATTAATATATTAATCCATTAATCTGTCCTTCTGTCCATTAATCCTTTGATAATTAATTAAATAATTAAATTTGGCAAACTTGAGGTAAAAATATGACCAAGAAGTACTTGAAATATTAATATCCCATCATCTCATTAAATTGAGGGAAAATATATTTTTCACGTCAAATTAACCGTCTCAATTTTCAATTATTAATACCCTTCGTACAGCAGTAGAGATGGGCACCTTTTTTCATCACGTTTTTTTCATCGTTCGTGCCCTATCCCGTTTTATTCAGTAAAATCGTTCATTCAATAAAATCGTTCGTTCAGTAAAAATACAATCGTTTTTTTAAAGTTTGTTCGAAAAAAACGTTTGTTTATAAAAAAAACTATCGTGTTTAAAAAGTTTGTTAGAAAAAATCACATGAAAAATTTTTTTGGATCTCAAAAATTTCGCTCATTCTCATGATTTTTTATAGTTTTTTAAACATTGGGTTCTTGACCGGAAAAAGCTGTTTATATTTTTTTGTTTTTTTTTTATAATGTGATAGAAGCAAACTTATTTCACATACAGTGATAACCAAAAATCAATGAAATAGAAAGACGACATTATAGCAATACGTAAGTGTAATTTATGTTGTACAAAGCAAATATTTTTACTAGAAACTTATTATATCTCTAATTTAGTGAGAAGGATTTATTTAGACTACAATTACTATGTCTAATGCTCATTGAACTTAAAATTATATAACTTGATACTAAACATTTTTTTCCTATTTAAAAGGTTTTTAGCGACCATTGAACAATTCAAAATATCTCCAATATTTGTGAATTCGTTCATGGAAAAAATTTGATTGTTTTAAAGCAAACTCATAACTTTACTCCTATCTACTAAAGAGTAAATTATTAATAAGAAAATGTTGTTGTATTGTTACTATAGGTTTTAAATCTTAAAAGTTAATAGTAAAAATTAAAGTAATTTTGAAAAAAAACTAAATTTGCTTCTCAAATGGCATCAACGTAATTTATAGTGAAACTTTATTTAAAGAATTACATACCCAATTAACAACACCGTAGCCAATCAACAACATTATGGATCTATCCTTGGTTGTTTTTATTTAAGAATTAATCATATTTTATTACAGTATTCTTTTTGATATTTTGCCGAGAAGTTCCAATAATATTAATCTCACAAAAAGAGGATCATTCATTTGTCGTGCATGTCCCGTTTGAAGCGTATATATATAGTCTGAAAATACAGAGTGTCCCATGCCATATTGAATTGTCTCCAAGCTTTAACGCAAAAATACGCAGACAATACTTTAAAAAAACATTGTTTTCTGCATTACAATTTTTACGATGGACTTAAAGAATTTTTTTAATCATGATTTATTCTTTTTAAATTTTCTGATTAATAGCGAAATTTGCAATTTAGTGC